GAAAGTCACAAGAATGAATATAAATGGCCAGTGGGAAGGTGAAGTGAATGGGCGCAAAGGGCTTTTCCCCTTTACGCATGTCAAAATCATTGACCCTCAAAACCCTGATGAAAACGAGTGATTGCTGTTGCCTGTTTCCTGCTGCTTCGTTGTTCTGCCTGTCATAGTCTCTTTGAAGTGGGAAAGCATTCTCTCTCATAGGCAAGTTACACTGCATTGCCGATGTCCAGCTTTCTGCAGAGTGGCGGTCTCTCACACCCATTTGGAATGCACACAGTGGCTGCCTCGGCATTTGTATCATAGTCGTGTTGTCAAGAGTAGCCGATTTTAGAGTTCTTTTGGATCATAAACTGGAAGTACTGGTGGAAGCACACAAGTGGAGAGAAGTTGACGAGGAAAGGGTCTGTCTTCTCATCACTGCCCTGTTTGTACTTGTGACTGATTCTATCATGTTCATCAGATGGAGCTTGAGGCCATGACGAGACATTGCACATTGCTGTTCCACAGAGCAGTGGCTCAGTTGCCATTTTGTTTTTCCTTTGAAGAACAGAGCAAATGAACCTTACAGAAGAGGGAATTCTGTCCTTAACTCCCCAAATCTGGCTCTTCTTTTTTCCTTTTGGTTTGGTTTTGGAAGACTTAATTAGATTTGTGTGTTCTGAACAGGTTTTTAACTAGAGGGTTGGATTTTTGTGGTATTGTAAGGAATGACTCGTGCCTCTGAGCTTCCAAACTGAAGCTGCTGTAACTAAAGGAAAAAACAGCCCTGAAGCAGAGGCCTTTATTGTCTTGGTTGCCACTTGTACCTTGTTTTGCCATATTGCAAACAGCCCACAAAAAATCAGTCATAGCGTGCCAAGCTGTGTGCATGGCCTCTTGGATTACATTGTCCCCAAAAGCATCAGAGTGAGGGGTGATTTGGGGAAACCTTTGCTTACCTTGTTTGCCAGTGACAGGAGCAATGTGGGGGGCGCACTGGCCAATTTTCTGTCTACCGTTTCAGTGAATATACCCCTTTAAGGTATAGGAATTAAGTTTCTTTAAAAAATGAAGTTGTTCATAGAATCATTGAAATAATTAATGAATCTTTAAATTCTACCCACTGAGGCTCACTCCTCGCCACCACAGCCCAAGTTCACAAGGCTGCCAGAGAAAGATGGTGCTGCTAATACTGGTTCCCCAGTCTGTATGTCCCTGATGCCCTCAGACAAAGAAAATGTAAGCTCTGGAAATTGGTTAATGCATTTAATGTCTAAGATTTTAGTCACTAGGGAGAACCATTAACCATTTAGCAATTTGATGTTATTGTTTCCTTGTTAGCTAAAAAAAGGGCTGTTCATACAAGCCCGCTTGATACAAATGTGTGGCTGATCCCTCGACTGGTGCACATAGCAGATTAGGATTCTGGAACCTTCATGCAGTTCAGTCTGCTCTCCCTTCTGGAAACTGGTGAAGACAGGCCTCAGCTCAGAATGAATACAGAAGACCTAGAAATGTAGCAGCCACCTAATGAGTAACTGCATCATTTGCTGAGCATCTGCTGTAGCCATGGCCCTGTGTCCCAAGGGTCTTAGGTTTGGAGGGCTAGAGCGATATATTCTGGTGACAGAACCAGCAAAACAACCATTTTTTCAGTCTGTCTTTAAATCCATATTTCATTAGGCTGGTATCTGCCATATGGAAGAATCTTGAAAGTGTTCTTGTGATAAAGTTAATGATCAGTTGGGAAAAAAACCACTGGCTGCCTGTCTGTGGTCTTCCCAGAAAAAAATGCAATCTGCTCTCCCTAGTCAGGGAGAACTGTGGCCACTTCTTGCTCTGAAGGTGCCTCTCTGTTGTAGTTGCCTCATACTCATTTCGGGCCCAGCCTAGCTCCCACAGTAAGTGGTACATGTGTGGCAGCATTCCTGCTCTCTGCCTGGACGCAGCACTTGCCTTGCAACCAGTGACCCAGTACTAAGGGGGTTGTGAGCATTATATGTGCCTTGTTTAAAGAAGGCACAAACCTTAAGACTTTTTTTAGCCAAATTTAGCTGAGGGGCTTGGCACTTTTTGGTGACAGTAGTTGGTTCAGAGTATAAGAAGTATATGGCCATTTTGGAAAGCAGGGTTTCCTTTCAGCTATGTCTGCTGGCCCATGGCAAGACCCACCTCGTGTAGAGCACTTCAGAATCAGAACACCCCACAAACCTACTTTGGCTTCATAATAAGTCTGCTTGTCACTTCAGCCCACGTACATGTCTCCAGGGCTGCCCAAGAGATTGGGAGCCTGAAATATGGTGAACCTTGAGTTCTGAAATCTCAAGATACGTGCCAAAAGTAGTACCTTTTTGACTTAGGACCTTATTAGTTTTCTCATCAGGCAGGGAAGTTCTCTTCATCACACTATACAGAAGACCGCATCCTTGCCTCAGCTTCATGCCTGGGTTCCCCAGTGATTGGGAAAGACTTCCTGTTTCAGAAAGCAATGCGAATCTTCCAGAGGAGCTGCCTTCCCTCCTTGGTTGGTCTCCTTTTAAGATTGTTCATTATTGCTACTTGGCTCTGCTCTACTGTGTGTCACCTAAGAAGATATTTGGATATTAAATTAACTCGGGAACTGAACAAATTATGAAGGGCATTGACAGTTTGATTCAAAACTTGTTTATCCTGAAAAGGACCTCCCATGCAGGAGTTGTTCTTGTCATTTCTTCATGGTGTGGTACCACCTGATGGCATAGTTAGAGAGGAGCACACGTTGACTAGCTGCCATTTGACAACTTTGGTCACCCAGACAAGACACCTTCTGTGCTCATGTTGGAAAACTGAAAGGGGGGGAAAGACAGCTGCTCCCTCCTTGGAGCTCAAGGATCCCTGGCTCCGTGCTAACTTTCTTTTACAGCTGTTTACAGACAAGACAGGCCGAGACAGACGGCCACTGCTCTTGTAATGTTTGCTCAGAGGAATATGACCATTTTATTTTTGAAAAGGGATGATCTGTTTTTTTTGCCAGGTGTTTATAATTTAATCCTTTAATATTATGTTCATTAACCTGTTAAAATGAGTGACTTTTGATTGTTTTAACACAGTACCTAAGACTAATGCTTTCTGTGGACACCACTGAGCTCTGCCTCAAACTCCACCCTCTGGGACCAGAGACCTAACTCTGGTTAACTGATATCAGTGTGGTAACTGAGCTGGTTGTATATTCTAAAGGAGTAGAAGGACAGTTCCCTGACACAGGGTTGTTGTCTCTGCAGGACGAACAGTGGCCTTGCTTCTAGACGGTCTTCACTGTGTGTTTTAAAATGACAACAACAACAACACAAAACTTTTGACCTGTAACTTAAAGATCATAAACTTCAGGCAATAATATTTTCTGTGTAAGCTTTTAAAATTATTTTTGGGGATCATAGCTTGTTTTATTTTGTGCTATAAAATTAACAGTATTAAATGACTTATATTCTTAGAACATTGAGTGTCTTTTCTTAACAGATTAGTGCCTTTTTATTTTTGTATTCATTTTACGTTACTGATCCCGGCATCAGAACCCTTGTTTCCATGGCCTGTTTGTACATTGTCTCAATAAAACTTGCATCAGCCGGTGGTGGCAGCAGCGGCTTTGGTGTTTCGGTGTCTCCTCAGTGCTGCCTGGAGGCTCTCAGCCCATATCAACCTCCCAGTCAGTTTAGCACCTGATGAATGCCTGTGAAACACAGAAACAACTGGTGCCTCTCCTAGGGTGCGTCTTGCATTGGCCCTTCCCCACACTTGGAGCCCCCTACAAAAGAGAAACAGCTGGTTCCCAATGCGTGAGCACAGTAGGTGCTGTAGGGGGCTGGTGCTCAGTCTTGGCCTTCTGAAGATGAAGCAATAGTTGCCACAGTTTACACCACCAAGGTCCCTTCTAGGCACCTGTATCTGAAGACGTCTGTTAAATATTTGTTCAGCACAAGCTACCCAGGGTTGAATGGTTTCAAGTGGAAGTAAGTCCTAAAAAACAAGCAGCCTCTTCTCTTTCTGTCTATATATAGCCTTCGTGATGAACTCCAGGGACCTTCAGGTAGACAGCTGGAGGTGGGGGTAGGGATGACACTTTCCTGACATCCCCTCAGTCAGAGCCCTGTTCTCACACATAATTTGTGTATGTATTGAGAGGTCCACATTTCTTTGTAGTAAAACCTCCAAAAGTGAGTTTCAGGAAGTGATACCAGTCCATATTTATGCTGCTTAAATGTACTCCCTAGCTTCTACTTTCAGGGTTCTGCAGAATTTGAAAGAAAAGTTTGCCTTGAATGGGAATACAAAACTGTTAAGTCATTCTGGAAGACACAGTGCCCTAGAGACACCTTTGAAGAATACTTGGTTTGAAAAGGTGTATTTTGAGCAGCAATACTGAGCTGGGTACTACCCTCTGTGGCAGGAAAAACCCTTGGAAGTGGGACCAGGTGAGGGTGGCTGTCCCTCCACCTTCCTCTGCTGAGTTAGCCTCAGTGCACACCAGCAGAGAGGCCAGTGCCCAGATCTTGAAACCTCACTCCACAGTAAAAACTGTGACATTGCTGCGCTTTTCACATGGTCTCCTCCTGGGTCCTTGTTCTGGGAGGCTCTTCTCTTGCCTAGGCATGGGCCCTCTTCCCCAGCCCTTTCTCGGGATCTGACCTTGATCTTGCGGTCTCCGTGCACACCTTGGTTCCCCAAGTCTTTGCAACCTAAGCTGGAGGGAATCCCTGCCCCTGCCCTGGAGAGCTCATAGTGCAAACGTGGTGAAGGTGGCTCGAGACAGTGGGAGCTGCTGTGGAGCCCTCGGTGGGTTCAGGATGGCTTCTTGGCTGCTTAGAGGAAGAGAAATCAACGAAATCCGGGTGGAGGGAACAGCTCAGGGCTGGAGAGTGCCTGGCTTTGTCATAGCCCCTGGAGACCTCAGGTGACCTGCCCTTCCTCGATCCCCTTTTTTTTTTTCAAGTTCTCCAGGGGTTTATGCAGCCAAGTTTGAGAACTACTTGTGCCACTGAAGCCCCTCACTCCTGCGCCTCCAGCTCTCCGAAGTCTTGGGCCAAGGGGCTGTGGTCTATGTTCTGCCTGTGCTAGGAGAGCAAGACTGGAGTCCGCCGGGGCGAGGACCCAAGCCCAAGCCCACGGGAAGACTGCCAGTTGCGACTGCCAGTTGCCGTCCCGCCTTTATGCGAAAGACCCTGAGGGTAGAAGACCCGGACGCCTTCGGACAGCAGTGCGCAGGCGCGGCCCACACCTGGTACTCCCAGGAGTCCTGGGCTCGAAGCCCGGCTGCAGCACGTACTCCGGCGCGGCTGCGTCACCTAGACTCCGGTTCTCCGCTTTTCGGACCGGCTCTGGGGACCACCGCCACTGCGTCCTCCAGACCCTGCCCACCCGACCCCGCCACTCCCCACGCCTAGATGCGGCCGTCGGTCCCGGGGGCAGCCGCCGCTGAGTCGGGGGCAGGAGGACAATCACCCGGAGGGATGGAGAGGAGGACCCCGGGAGGGGTGAGGGTAGAGAACACAGTGCACTGGGGCCGCAGGAGGCTCCCTCCCCGCTCTCAGGTCCCAGAAAGGGTTTGCCCTTTTCCGGACGTTGTCCAGAGTGCATGGCTCTCGGGTGAGGTCCCCGGCGGCTGGAGAGATCGCGGGCTGTGGGGTTTGGCTAGCCCGGGCTTCCTGGTGGCAGGGCCGAGGGCCAGGTAGGGTGACAAACAGAAGGCGGGGAGACCGAAGAGGGGACCGGTGGCCGTCAGCGCTACCCTTTTCCGGGGCCAACGAATTTGCCCTCGCAGGGCTCCTGGGCTCGGGGCCCTACGAAACCTGTGTCCTGGCGGCTCCGGAGGGCAGGGCTAGTGTGTCTCAGCTTTGCCTTCTCTGAAATGGAGGCGGGCACAGGTGAAGGAGGGGCTGGGGGCGTGGCTAAGGCGGCGCGCTTTGAGAGCAACCTACACCCTCCCGCCCGAGAGCCCCGCGGAATGTGCTGTGCAGGCTGAATCTGAGGAAGCGGCTGGGTGGGGGCGGGGGCGGGGATGTCCTCTGAGTGGGCGCCAGGAGCTGCCCACCAGCTGAGTCCTGGAAAGAGGGAGTGAGTGAGTTACTGGGAGTCTGCCCCGTAACTGCGTCCAGGACGGGCACCAAGAGGAAGAGAGACCTGGGCAGGGGCTGTGCCAGGCCCAGTGACCAGAGGAAAAGGACCCAAGCCCCAGTGTCAGCCATTCGCGAATAGTGGTTTGAAGCCCACCGAGCTCCCCCAAAACAGCTCTGAGGAGTTTGGGGGATTTGACTTTGGCTTCAGCGTTGGAGGAAAAACATCCATAGGATGCAGCATTCAAAATACGGGTATCTGAAGAAGCACATCCCTTCCACTGTCCATTCCACTACCCAGGATCTCCCTGTTTCTAGTTTATTATGTATTATATATTTGATAATATATTAATATAATTATGTATATTTCCAGAATTTTTCTATAACATACAAGCAAATATACCTCTGTAAATATCCTTTCTAAATGTTTTCTGCACAGAAAGGTAGAATAGATTACTTACTTACTGTTCTGTACCTTGCTTTATTTCCCCAGTCTGTTTTAAAGATTATTGTGAGTCTTTGTTCTTTTTCACCACTGTATAGTACCACATGATATAGATGTACGGTTACTCATTTCAACAATCCACTATTGATGGACATGTATGTCTTTCCAAGGAGGTCAGGTGCATTAAAATGAGCTGCTCCGGGGCGCCTGGGTGGCGCAGTCGGTTAAGCGTCCGACTTCAGCCAGGTCACGATCTCGCGGTCCGTGAGTTCGAGCCCCGTGTCGGGCTCTGGGCTGATGGCTCAGAGCCTGGAGCCTGTTTCCGGTTCTGTGTCTCCCTCTCTCTCTGCCCCTCCCCCGTTCATGCTCTGTCTCTCTCTATCCCAAAAATAAATAAACGTTGAAAAAAAAAATTTTTTTTTTTTTTAAATAAAATGAGCTGCTCCAAGTGGGATTGCTGGATCAAAGGCTCTGGGTATTTGCAGTTTTTAGAGGTGTTGCCAAATTGCCCTCTGTAGGGTAACTTACACTTTCACCAGAGATGTATAAGAAAATATTTACAACATTTTTCCAAACCCATTGTAGACCCGTTTTATGGTTGAACAGTATTCCTCCACGTGGCTGAGGTAGCTTAAACCAGGACATTTGTCACTGAGGGTGTGGAAGTTGTTGCCAATCCTTCTGATGATAGAAAATCTTCAGGTCTAAGTAAGGGCCACAAGGGCATGGCCCACCTTCCAGCCCTCAAGCTGACTGTGGCTCAATCCTCACCCCAGGTGCCTCCTGACCTTCTGGTCCCTCTGCCCCATTCCAATCCAGTGCCAGTCCTACTTGTTGGTATGTTTTTTTACCGAAGACACATGGGATGAAAACCCCTCACCCAGCTGCTCTTGGGCCCTGTAACATACCTCCATGCTATGCTCCTGCCCAGAACTCAGCACCCAAGCCAGGCTGGGCTGGCACATTTTGTATTCCCCAGAATTTGCCATCATACCTCCTTGCCTTTCCCCGGACATTCCTTCTGCCTGGATGCCCATCTCCTCTCTGTTGAACTCCTAAGGGCCTGTCTGTCCTCAGTCCTTGCCACCCCCTAGTAAAACCCTTCTGGCCTTTCTCTCCCTCCAGCAGGACTAGAATTAGGACTGGGTACCCCATAACCTGGAAACAGGACAGTCCTGGCAGCAAGCCAGCAGCTTGGGGAGGGCCATGGTGGGGCTGAAGAGGTCAATAGGAGCTGGAGCTGGCCTCCACAGTCAGAGAACCCAGAACGGTGTTCACACTGTGTAGACCAACCGGGCTGGGGGGAGGATAGGCTTCAGTAGCTACAGCAAGTCAGGGATGAGCCTGGGATATGGGGTTTGTCTCAGGCTCCCCGAACTGGGGATCCCCTAACTTCTGTTTCTATATGAATGAATCACCCTGTAGCTGTGGGCACAGCTGGCCTTAACTCAAGCGTTGGCTGTGCTGTATCAGCCCCCAGTATTTCATGGGAGTCAGTTAGATAAACTTAGGTCTCTGTATCTGGAAATCCACCTAAGTCTGGCAGGGAAGAGGCCTCTACTGTCTCAGCCCATGGCTGCCCTCAGAACCCCAAAGCTCAGGTAGGCTCTGCTGACCCTCAGACCTGCCTCCAGGGGGCGCCAGTGTCAATCCCAATGTTCAACATTGCCTCTATCTCCTGTTCCAAAGGATCTCCCTACACACCTTGGCGTCCAGCCCCTAGTCTGAGGGGAATGGGGAACAGGAGAAACTGACAGGAGCTGGTAGATGGAAGGAGAACAGAGACAGGCTTGGACAGGGATCACCTACACACACACACACACGCTTCTCAAACCTTGGCAACCCCCTCCCTGCCTTTGGGGTGTCTGCTGGGTCTAGGGGTCTCTCAGCCACTTCAGGTCACCTTACTACATCTCAGCCTGGGGTTCCATTTCCCTCTTTGCTAACATCCCATTGGATATTTTCCAAGCCAGATGTTATGGTCTTGCCCTGCCACATTTCTCCTCCAGGCCTCAGCCCCTCACCCACCTGCATAAGTGTGACCCATGCAGGCCCTGGTTCTGCCCCTGGGTGAGACTTAGCCTTCCGAATTCACCCATCTGTAAAATGAGGGAGAGTGTTGCTTGTCCCCCTGGGCAGGGTGGGACATAAATAAAGGACGTTCTCTGAAGGCTGTATCTGCCTGGCATAGGTGACTGTTACTGCTGTTGTTTTTGTCCTTACAGGAAAGCAAAGTCCAAAAAGGGGAGAGGTGGCAAAAAAAAAAAAAAAAAAAAAAAAAAAAAAAAGAGAACCCAACACAAGCCACTAAAGGAGCACTAATAAGACACAGAGTTGATGGGCCCTGATGTGTTTAATGATAGATGTGACATCACTTCCCCAGAAATTGTCATTCATTCATTTCCCACATAGTCACTGAGTTCCAGTTTGCGAGAGGTACAAGCTCTACCTGAACACAATGCGAAGATCAGGACAGTCAGGACAGTGAAACAGGGGTAACCAGGAGCCAGGATATCAGGGCCTGATCAAGTCCCAGTCTGGGGAGGCTGGTCAGGGAGGGCTTCCTGGAAGAGGGGACATACCATCAGGGGGCATTATGATTTATAGGAATCCAGGAAGTTCTCCTGATATAATGACAGATGGGAAAAAGAAAATGTAATAGAATATAATTTAAAATAGACCGTATTAAGTGTAGGGAGAAGGCAGACCAAGGAGACTGAGCCTCCCAAGGGAGTCAGGTTACCTATGGGGTAGTGGGAAGTGATTTGGATTTTCCTTCTTGGGGAGCTTACTCCGGGTGATTCAACTCCCACTCCCCACGTCACTCCGCTGCCCACGATTCGAAGACTTAGGAAAGAAAGAAAAGAAGCAAGAATCAGATCCGGTGCGCTGCCCAGCTATGCGCCCCTCTAAGGTCCAGAGGATCCCTGGGAACCCAAACCCCGCCGGCGGCGTCCATGGCCAGAAGGGCCCCCGAATGCCTCCCCATACCCCGCGACCCTCTGTGAGGACTCTGAAGCCACCGGCCTGACCCCTGACCTGGAACCGACCCCCAACTACCAGCAGGGACCCGGCGGGGCGGTGCTGGGCGCCGCGGGCTTCCCGGCCGCAGTGTCGCCGCAGCGC